AGCCTCGATGTTGCTGCGCAGGGCGGGCAGAGGCTTTGCAAGAACCTTCTTGTGCAGCCCCAGCAACTTGTCATTGAGGCTGCCCTCTCGCCCCGTCTTCCTGCTCTGGGAAGCAGCAGTGCTCGCACGGGTGTTAGGATGAGGAGCAGGCTGAGTGGCGGTGGCTTTGCTGCCGTTAGGTGCCCTGACAGTGTATCTTCTTGTCATTGCAGCCCTGCTGTATGCTGGGTCCTGGCATGCCACTGCCTGCTGGTAGGGTCCCCGGCTCTCAGCGCTGTTGTTGCGCAGGACCGCGCTCACATTTCTTGTGCCCTGCGCTGTGGCACAGGCTGTGGGCCTGTGTGGGGCAGGCTGCCAGCTCCGTGGCCTCGCAACTGTGCTGCCATGTGCGGGGATGTGGTGCTGCTGGGCAGCGGTTGTGCAAAGCTGCTTTTGGCTGTTGCTTGTCCTGCCGATGGCCATGTCAGTGAATCTGGCTGCAGGGGCAGAGGGTGCCCATGTCGGGCGAGGCAGCCTGCTGGCTTCTCTCACTGGCCGAGGTGGCGGCCGAGGTGTCCTTTCCACCACCACTGGCCGAGGAAGTGTCTGCTCCTCTGTCCTCATGCTGCGGGGCAGCACCGCTCTGCACCTCACGCTGCCCACCTGCAAGAGAAGTCGAGGAGAGAGGCTCTGTGATAGTGTCTCTTGCGCCCGTATCCCAGCTGTTGGGAGCTCATGCAGTTGGGCTCCCCTGCCAGCCCCACGGCAAGGCTCAGGCCCACAGGTGGCTGCTGCCTGCTCCCAGAGCTGGCTGGGGAAAGGGCTGGCCACCCGCCGGCCATGGCCCCAGCCCACAGCAGCCCCGGCATGCCCGTGGTTGGGAAGGTGTTTGGCCCTGTCTCCCTCGGGGTCCCTACCTGTTCCTGCTGGGTCTCGATGGGCTGATACCTTCGTTGGTAGGGCAGCTGTGGTACCGTGATCCCACGCCGCCCTTCCTCAGGCTGTGGCCTGTGGCCCACCTGCGGGCAGGAGGAGGAGGAAGAGGTGTGTGATGGAGGCGGCTGCCTTGGCACAGCAGCCCCCGCAGTGCCGGCAAGCCCGGCCCCGGCCCCGAGGCAGCTCCATGTGGCCCCGTCCCACCACCGGCCTCTCACTCCTGCCCCAGCCCTCACCTGGCGCCTCCTTTGCACTCCTGGCCTGCCCTCGGCAGGCTGGGAGCGGGCGTTCGATCCCTTGTCCACTGGCATCTTCTGTGTCCTCGGATGCAGACTTGCTGTGGATTCACAGGGCAACTGCCACCTCTAGGGTGCGCCAGGGCCTTAAATACCCCACATAAGAGTCGTAACAATGCCCCCGTGGTTTCCACGGAGACGCCGATGCCCTCACCAGTTCCAAAGGGTCCCAGCTCCTCATGGGCAACTCCACAGCAACCACTGAAGCTTTGTGACAGCGGCAGCATCGTGCCCATGGCCACTGGGCAGTCAGGGATGCACTTTTCTCCTCCCTGTTTTTTTCCTTGACAAGAAGAAAAGGGAACGGAGAAAAGAAAGACCGGTAAAAGAAGGAAAAAAACAACAAAAATAATGAAATCATTCTTGTGAGACCTCACCTGGAGTACTGTGTGCAGTTCTGGTTTACTCAACATAAAAAGAACATGAAACCAACACCCCCAAGTCCTTCTCCGCAGGGCTGCTCTGAATCTCTTCTCTGCCCAACCTGTAGCTGTGCCTGGGATTGGTCTGACCCAGCTGTAGGACCTTGCACTTGGCATGCTTAAACTTCATGAGGTTGGCATCAGCCCACCTCACAAGCATGTCGAGGTCCCTCTGCATGGCATTCCTTCCCTCCAGCCTCCATTTTTAACACCTACCCACACACCAAGGATCTTTGCTTTGAGGCTTTTTCTCATGTTAGAAACCATCCCTCCCTCACCTCGTGTTTCCTGAGGAGTACCTGTCAAATTTACCACTACTAGCTACTTGGTTTCAACAAATGCCATCCATAGCTGTACAGCAATGGAACAGTTTGTTAAGTAGCCTGTGCTCCCTTTTCTGGCATCCTTGGTTTTGTCTTACCTAAAAGGGATCTACTTGCTGCCTGAATTAAGACTGAACAGCAGAGGTCCAACCTACTTTGATGTTAAATACAACCTGACACACACGAAACCTGATCTACATAAACATCTGAAGAAAATCTTTCTTATCATGCTTCTAATTTAGCCCCAGACAAAAAGACACCCTTCTACCTCATCACTTCTTGGCCTATGTTTTCACTTCGTCTCAGCCATTCCCACTTTAGCTGGGCAAACACAAGTGTCTCTTTCATTGCACAGGGCTGTGATGGCCACAGATCAAGCAGCAGCTCTCACTTGGCACTCATGGAAAAAGTATTAAAAGCTTCAGTGATATGTATCTCACTCCAGTTAGCAGCAAGTCAGAGGGAAGAACATAATACTAAAGCATAAACACCCCATTCTGGATCTCCTTAAAAAGCTACCTCCCAAATCTGTCAGGAAGAGGTACAAAACTTCTTTCACACTGAAAGCTATCAGAAATTAGAATCACAGCATCACAGAATGGCTTGGCTTTGAAAGGACCTTAAGCTCATCCAGTTCCAACCCCTTGCCAAAGGCAGGGACACCTCACACTAGACATGTCTCTCAAGGCTCTGTGCAACCTGGCCTTGAACACTGCCAAGGATGGAACATTCACCACTTCTCTGGCCTCATCACCCTCACAGTAAAGAACTTCTTCCTTATATTAGCCTTGGGAATATTCATTCTGGCTGGGAAGAAATGATAGCACTTACCTGGTTCAGCAAGTAAAGGATTTTGGTAAGGATGTGCAGACATCTTCGTGGATTTATAGGGGTCTCGTTAAAGATACGAGCCTACAGACACAGCATAAAGAGAGTATTACAGTGTAACTCAACAATCATCATTTCTCTTTCATCATAAAAAGTAAAGCCGTTTGTTTTCAACCAAGTAGCTTTTCATTCTAAAAATGTGTCCCAGAGAACATATTCTTGGTGAGAACATCCTAAGAAAGCTAGATTAAACTTTGGATTTAGCCCAGTGTAAATTCCTTCTCTGATCTCTTTTGCAGAGTGTAAGAACTCAGAAGAGTTTTTATTCATTAATTTTTGTTCACTATAAACTGGCACCTCAGGTGTTTAGAGATTTGACTGAGGAATGTTGAACATGGAACTGTGTTGGAACTACAGAGTGCTTGGGACCTTTCTCATATCCATGTGTTGGAAGGGCGGGAGGGGTGGTTGATGTAAATGTGTTATTTGCTTTCCAAGAGTTAAAGTGTCAGTGCTCTTTGGATATTTGCTTTACAATAGCAAATAGATCAGAGGAAGTTGGGTTTAAAGCTTTTAAGTGATAACTGTGAGGCTTCTGCATTCAGATGTTTCACTTCTATCATGATTAACGTGGATTTTTGGTTTTAGTCTTATCTTACAAGATAGAGATATGTTTATTCTCCTGATTTGTTTGATAACTGACAGTAAGGCTATTCCCCAGTTATCAAACACAATTTAACTTGTGTGCTTTGTACACCACTGCTTTATCTTTGTATAGAAGTGGGGAAGAGGGTGTTCTATTTAAAAGCTTGCTCAAAATTTAAAGTTGAATATTTGAACTTTTATTTAACTTCAAAACTTGTAGGAAGTGTTTATTTATGCTTGCCATTGGAACAGGCTGCCCAGGGAGGTTGTGGAGTCTCCATCTTTGGAGACATTCAAAACCCGCCTGGACACATTCCTGTGTAACATTATGTAGGTGTTCCCGCTCCGGAAGCGGGACTGGACGAGATGATCTTTTGAGGTCTCTTCCAATCTCTAGCATACTGTGTGTAAACTAGAACTAATTGCAACAGATAGGTAGCCGCTTAGATTGAAGTCAGTTGTTTTACGTTAATTAAATATAGAGGTCCGTGAATTACACAAACATGCTCTAACCAACATACAGGCAGAGACGAGCAGTGGGGGGGGAAACGAGTTATTATTTATTGGCCCAAGAAAGCAGCCACAACAAGTGCAGGCTGCAGCATGACATCCTCAGCACAGCTGCCTTGGGCCTGGCGCTGGCAGCAGGGCGCTACTCCTCCACACGTGGGGTGAGGCATGAGCAAGTGAAAGCCTTGCGCAGAGCCCTCAGCACTCTCCTGAAGCGGGAGAGTCGTCGCCGTGGGGCCGCTCCTTGGTCTGGAAGAGTGGCAATGCCTGTGGAGGAAGAAGAGCTGTAGGCAAGGGACTTCCTTTGGCAACCCGTTCCAGTGCCTCACCACCCTTACAGTAAAGAACTTCTCCTTAACAGCATCCTCATTGGCCTCCTTCAGATACTGGAAGGTCTGCTAGGAGGTCTCCACGCAGCCTTCGGCCCATGGAGGGGAGGCTGGGACACACCCGAACTCACGCAAACACTGCTGCCGGTCTGGCCTGGGTGCCACCCAACTCGGGCAAGTACCTGGCTGGTTCTCGCTGTCCTGAACTACAGCAGGCGACGTTGACGGTGACTCCACATCCAAGCTTTGTGCCACGTCTGGCTCTTTCACCTGCTGCTGCCTTGTTCCCTGGATGACAGTCACAGCCTTGCCCAGGTGTTTCCTCACAAAGCGTCTGAGCCTACCCTGCAGGGTAGCAAGAGCACAGGCAGGGGATGGGGGCAATGTCAGTGGGATGACACAGGCAGCACCAGAAATAGCCCTGTCACAAAACCTGGGAGCTGCCGTCCAAGGCCTTGGGATCCCCGGTGCCAACCACACGCGCCTCACTCACCTGGCGCCGAGAGTCCCGACACAAGGGAGAAGCTGCTGCATCTCCACTATCATCTGCTCCTGGAGGAATGTGGGATGTTCCAGGCTCTGTTGCAGGGATCTCAGTCAAGAAAGCAGCCACTTCATCCTCAGGCACTGTTGGGGAGGCAGCGGCTGCACTGGCCTCTCCCTGAGGCTCCGAAGCCACAGCAGACTCAACGTGCTCAGGTGCTGCAGGCGTCAGTGCTGCCATTGACACACTCAGGATTTGGGTCATGTCCTGATACTCCACCAGCTGTTGGCTGGTTCCCTCTCCTGTTGCGTCCATGCCCATGCTGGTGGGGCAGCTGGATCCCTCCTGGGGATCTGCATGGGTGTCCTGGAAGTGGTCTGGGACTGAGAGGTTGACCCAGAGGTTGCGTATGGTGATCTCTTCCACTTCAGAAAGCTCTTTGTCCATGGCCTCTTCCCATTCCTCTTCTTCCTTTCCGTCCAACTCCTCATCGTCAGCTTCCTCGCCCAAGGTCCCTGGCGCTTCCTGTAAACACACAACAGGGATGCAGAAAATGAGTTGAGGGAGCAGTGGCTGGCCACAGGCAGAGGAAGGCTCATCCCGCTGTCCTGTCCCATCCTGTCCTTGGCACTCACCTGCCTGTGACTGGGCATCCGTCCCCGCCGCAAGGCGAAACGAGGCCTCTGGCCCTCCTGCTGCTGGAGCTCCCTTTCCACAGAGCTGCCCAGCAGCCAAGGCAGGCTGGCTCTCCTTTGCATGTCGAGCCTGTGACTGGTGTGGGCCATGCTGCTCCTCTCCGGCTCCTCCAGAGGCTCTGGCATAGGGAGCAGCAGGAATCTCTCTGCCACAGGTAGCCCATGCGAGACTCCTGCTTGAATCTCCACAGTATCTCCGGTGCCAGCCATATGTGCCTCGCTCACCGGGTGCCCAGATTCACGATCAAAGGCAGAAGCTCCTGCTTCTCCTTCGTTGGCTGCTTCTGGGGCAGAGTGGCATGCTCCAGCCTCTGGCACAGGCATCTCAGGCCATGAAGCTGCCACTTCCTCTCTCTGTGTTTCTGGCAAGACAATGGCTGTTTCAGCCTCTCCTTGATGGTCTCCACACACAGGAGACTCAGTGTCCCCAGTCCACACAGATGCCATTAGTGCCATTGCCTCATCTGAGTTTTGGGACATGTCCCGATGTTCCGCCAGCTGCTGGCTGGCTCCCTGGACAACGGCCAGGCTCATGATCAGGACCTCTTCAGAGATGGTCCTGGCCGTTTCTTCTACAACCACCTCACAGGCATCAGGGCTGAGCAGGGCAGGTACCTGCCTCTGTGCCTGTGGTGCTGCCTCCTGCTCGACGCAGGCAGGAGAAACTGGTGCCGGTTCCACCTCCTCCTGTGCCACTGGAGTGAGACGTGCGCGGTGCTCCTCTTCCTCCGCAGATGCAGCTAATGTAGAAGCTGTCGACTCAGTGGCTGTGGGTCCGGCTGGGATAGGAGACGTGTTCTGCAGGTCTCCACCTGCCTCCCCTGTCACTTCAATGTCCATGCTGCTGGGGAAGTCAGACCCCTCCTGGATATCGGCCTGGGGGTCCTGGAAGAGCTCTGGGACCGAGGGGTTGACCCAGAGGTTGCGTATGATGATCTCTTCCACTTGGGACAGCACTTTATCAATGTCCTCTACCCACTCTTTCTCCTCTTTGTCCACTGCCGCATCCAGCATTTGGGTCATGCCCTGAGGTTCCAGCAGCTGCTGGCTGGTTTCCTGATCCACTGCCACAGCCTGGACCAGAGGCTCCCTTGTGCTGAGCAGGGCTGCTCCCTGTGGAACCAACTCACAGGCATCTGGGCTGAGCAGGACAGATGCCTGACTCTCTGCCTCTGGTGCTGCCTCCGGTGCTGCCTCCTCATCACCATTGTGAGAAGAATCTGTTTCCTCTGCCTCCTCCTCGATCATATTCCAGAACTGGGAGCTTGCACCGACACTGGGTGTGACACGCACTTTTGCATCTCTTACTATGATGCTGTCGGAGGCAGGTGCATTGCACTGTGCTTCTGCTGCCAGAGCTTGACTGTCAAAGCCACAAGAGGCTGCGGTCTCTGCCTCCTCCTCAACAGCATCTCTGAAATGGACCTTCCTGAGGATGCTCTTGGGTGTGACCTTCATATCCATGTTGCTTTCTTTGTGGCTGTGCGGGGCAGGTGCCCGGCCCTGTGCTCGTCCTGCTGCAGCCTGCCTGCCGATGGCGGGAGAGGCTGGTGCCTCTATCACCTCGACACCAGCTCTGAAAGGAAGCTTCTTGACGCACCTGGATGGGAAATTCAGATCTGCGTCATTTTCTGCTGAGCTGTTCATGGCAGGTGCCTGGCGCTGGGCTTGTGCTGCAGCAGCCTGCCTGCTAAAGCCACGAGATGCTGGTGCTGGTGCCATGGGAACGAGAGGTGCCTGGTACTCCTCTTCCTCAGGAGCTCTGGCCAAGCGGCTCCTCCTGGCGTGTTGCAAAGCCTCGATGTTGCTGCGCAGGGCGGGCAGAGGCTTTGCAAGAACCTTCTTGTGCAGCCCCAGCAACTTGTCATTGAGGCTGCCCTCTCGCCCCGTCTTCCTGCTCTGGGAAGCAGCAGTGCTCGCACGGGTGTTAGGATCAGGAGCAGGCTGAGTGGCGGTGGCTTTGCTGCCGTTAGGTGCCCTGACAGTGTATCTTCTTGTCATTGCAGCCCTGCTGTATGCTGGGTCCTGGCATGCCACTGCCTGCTGGTAGGGTCCCCGGCTCTCAGCGCTGTTGTTGCGCAGGACCGCGCTCACATTTCTTGTGCCCTGCGCTGTGGCACAGGCTGTGGGCCTGTGTGGGGCAGGCTGCCAGCTCCGTGGCCTCGCAACTGTGCTGCCATGTGCGGGGATGTGGTGCTGCTGGGCAGCGGTTGTGCAAAGCTGCTTTTGGCTGTTGCTTGTCCTGCCGATGGCCATGTCAGTGAATCTGGCTGCAGGGGCAGAGGGTGCCCATGTCGGGCGAGGCAGCCTGCTGGCTTCTCTCACTGGCCGAGGTGGCGGCCGAGGTGTCCTTTCCACCACCACTGGCCGAGGAAGTGTCTGCTCCTCTGTCCTCATGCTGCGGGGCAGCACCGCTCTGCACCTCACGCTGCCCACCTGCAAGAGAAGTCGAGGAGAGAGGCTCTGTGATAGTGTCTCTTGCGCCCGTATCCCAGCTGTTGGGAGCTCATGCAGTTGGGCTCCCCTGCCAGCCCCACGGCAAGGCTCAGGCCCACAGGTGGCTGCTGCCTGCTCCCAGAGCTGGCTGGGGAAAGGGCTGGCCACCCGCCGGCCATGGCCCCAGCCCACAGCAGCCCCGGCATGCCCGTGGTTGGGAAGGTGTTTGGCCCTGTCTCCCTCGGGGTCCCTACCTGTTCCTGCTGGGTCTCGATGGGCTGATACCTTCGTTGGTAGGGCAGCTGTGGTACCGTGATCCCACGCCGCCCTTCCTCAGGCTGTGGCCTGTGGCCCACCTGCGGGCAGGAGGAGGAGGAAGAGGTGTGTGATGGAGGCGGCTGCCTTGGCACAGCAGCCCCCGCAGTGCCGGCAAGCCCGGCCCCGGCCCCGAGGCAGCTCCATGTGGCCCCGTCCCACCACCGGCCTCTCACTCCTGCCCCAGCCCTCACCTGGCGCCTCCTTTGCACTCCTGGCCTGCCCTCGGCAGGCTGGGAGCGGGCGTTCGATCCCTTGTCCACTGGCATCTTCTGTGTCCTCGGATGCAGACTTGCTGTGGATTCACAGGGCAACTGCCACCTCTAGGGTGCGCCAGGGCCTTAAATACCCCACATAAGAGTTGTAACAATGCCCCCGTGGTTTCCACGGAGACGCCGATGCCCTCACCAGTTCCAAAGGGTCCCAGCTCCTCATGGGCAACTCCACAGCAACCACTGAAGCTTTGTGACAGCGGCAGCATCGTGCCCATGGCCACTGGGCAGTCAGGGATGCACTTTTCTCCTCCCTGTTTTTTTCCTTGACAAGAAGAAAAGGGAACGGAGAAAAGAAAGACCGGTAAAAGAAGGAAAAAAACAACAAAAATAATGAAATCATTCTTGTGAGACCTCACCTGGAGTACTGTGTGCAGTTCTGGTTTACTCAACATAAAAAGAACATGAAACCAACACCCCCAAGTCCTTCTCCGCAGGGCTGCTCTGAATCTCTTCTCTGCCCAACCTGTAGCTGTGCCTGGGATTGGTCTGACCCAGCTGTAGGACCTTGCACTTGGCATGCTTAAACTTCATGAGGTTGGCATCAGCCCACCTCACAAGCATGTCGAGGTCCCTCTGCATGGCATTCCTTCCCTCCAGCCTCCATTTTTAACACCTACCCACACACCAAGGATCTTTGCTTTGAGGCTTTTTCTCATGTTAGAAACCATCCCTCCCTCACCTCGTGTTTCCTGAGGAGTACCTGTCAAATTTACCACTACTAGCTACTTGGTTTCAACAAATGCCATCCATAGCTGTACAGCAATGGAACAGTTTGTTAAGTAGCCTGTGCTCCCTTTTCTGGCATCCTTGGTTTTGTCTTACCTAAAAGGGATCTACTTGCTGCCTGAATTAAGACTGAACAGCAGAGGTCCAACCTACTTTGATGTTAAATACAACCTGACACACACGAAACCTGATCTACATAAACATCTGAAGAAAATCTTTCTTATCATGCTTCTAATTTAGCCCCAGACAAAAAGACACCCTTCTACCTCATCACTTCTTGGCCTATGTTTTCACTTCGTCTCAGCCATTCCCACTTTAGCTGGGCAAACACAAGTGTCTCTTTCATTGCACAGGGCTGTGATGGCCACAGATCAAGCAGCAGCTCTCACTTGGCACTCATGGAAAAAGTATTAAATGCTTCAGTGATATGTATCTCACTCCAGTTAGCAGCAAGTCAGAGGGAAGAACATAATACTAAAGCATAAACACCCCATTCTGGATCTCCTTAAAAAGCTACCTCCCAAATCTGTCAGGAAGAGGTACAAAACTTCTTTCACACTGAAAGCTATCAGAAATTAGAATCACAGCATCACAGAATGGCTTGGCTTTGAAAGGACCTTAAGCTCATCCAGTTCCAACCCCTTGCCAAAGGCAGGGACACCTCACACTAGACATGTCTCTCAAGGCTCTGTGCAACCTGGCCTTGAACACTGCCAAGGATGGAACATTCACCACTTCTCTGGCCTCATCACCCTCACAGTAAAGAACTTCTTCCTTATATTAGCCTTGGGAATATTCATTCTGGCTGGGAAGAAATGATAACACTTACCTGGTTCAGCAAGTAAAGGATTTTGGTAAGGATGTGCAGACATCTTCGTGGATTTATAGGGGTCTCGTTAAAGATACGAGCCTACAGACACAGCATAAAGAGAGTATTACAGTGTAACTCAACAATCATCATTTCTCTTTCATCATAAAAAGTAAAGCCGTTTGTTTTCAACCAAGTAGCTTTTCATTCTAAAAATGTGTCCCAGAGAACATATTCTTGGTGAGAACATCCTAAGAAAGCTAGATTAAACTTTGGATTTAGCCCAGTGTAAATTCCTTCTCTGATCTCTTTTGCAGAGTGTAAGAACTCAGAAGAGTTTTTATTCATTAATTTTTGTTCACTATAAACTGGCACCTCAGGTGTTTAGAGATTTGACTGAGGAATGTTGAACATGGAACTGTGTTGGAACTACAGAGTGCTTGGGACCTTTCTCATATCCATGTGTTGGAAGGGCGGGAGGGGTGGTTGATGTAAATGTGTTATTTGCTTTCCAAGAGTTAAAGTGTCAGTGCTCTTTGGATATTTGCTTTACAATAGCAAATAGATCAGAGGAAGTTGGGTTTAAAGCTTTTAAGTGATAACTGTGAGGCTTCTGCATTCAGATGTTTCACTTCTATCATGATTAACGTGGATTTTTGGTTTTAGTCTTATCTTACAAGATAGAGATATGTTTATTCTCCTGATTTGTTTGATAACTGACAGTAAGGCTATTCCCCAGTTATCAAACACAATTTAACTTGTGTGCTTTGTACACCACTGCTTTATCTTTGTATAGAAGTGGGGAAGAGGGTGTTCTATTTAAAAGCTTGCTCAAAATTTAAAGTTGAATATTTGAACTTTTATTTAACTTCAAAACTTGTAGGAAGTGTTTATTTATGCTTGCCATTGGAACAGGCTGCCCAGGGAGGTTGTGGAGTCTCCATCTTTGGAGACATTCAAAACCCGCCTGGACACATTCCTGTGTAACATTATGTAGGTGTTCCCGCTCCGG